CTTCTCTCTCCCCACAGACTGGGAAATCTTTGACCGCAGGGATCATATCACTCATCCCTTTACCCCGTGGAGCACCTGCGCCCAGTGCTTGGCACGTAGTAGGTGCTCAGTAAATGCCTGTCGAGTGGCTCCAGCAGGCTTGAGGTTGGAGCTCTCTGAAGCCCACGGGTGTCCAGGGTTCCCCAGGGTCAGCTGGTGCTGGGGAGCGAGAGTGGGGTGGGGCAGGCTGGGAACTTACTGCACGCAAGACTGGAGCAGTAGACTGAGGGCACCCATAGGTTGGAGGAGCCAGTGTCAAAGATCACGGTGAAATCCTGGGCAGGGGTTCCGATGCCGATAGTGCCGAAGTACTCCACCTGCCGAGGCCGGGACAGGGCAGTTCATGGACCGAGGTCTCTCTGTCAGGGCCTCCCTAAGAGCTCTCTCTGGGTCACCTCCTCGGTTGCCCTCTCTACCTTTTCCTTCCTTCCTCACAGTTCTTGTCTTTCTCTTCCCAGCCACTGCCTTCATCCTTCAAAGCCCAGCCCTGGCGTCCCTTCCTCCTTGAAGTCTTCCCTGATTGCTCCCCCAATTTACCCTCTGCTCTCTCCTAAGCACCACAAGCACGTAACAATCTGCTGCTCCCTCTTCAGCCGTTGTCTTGTCTGTCACAGTCTTCCCATCCTTACAGCACATGTTCTCAGAGGATGGGGGTGGAATCTTCTAGCACCGGGCAAGTGACAGCTTAAGTGCTTGTGCCTTAAATTGTTTATCAGAAGCTAAGCAAGCCACCTAAAGATGGAAACCTGGCTGGTTTTCTTATTTCTACATCTAGATGTGTGAGCAGGTTGCAAGAAAGGGCACTGCCAGTATTTTTCTTCTTCTTTTTTTCTGAGGCAAATCTCGCTCTGTTGTCCAGACTGGAGTGCAGTGGCACGATCTCGGCTCACTGCAGCCTCTGCCTCCTGGGTTCCAGTAATTCTCCTGCCTCAGCCTCCCAAGTAGCTGGGATGACAGGTGTGTGCCATCACGCCCAGCTAATTTTTGTATTTGTAGTAGTGACGGGGTTTCACCATGTTTCCAGGCTGATCTTGAACTCCTGACCTCAAGTGATCCACCCACCTCAGCCAACCAACCAGTATTTTTCTTCTGAGTGGCAGCATTTCCCCAGCTTGCCGGCTCTGTTCCCGCCACACTGGTCTGCTTGCTGCTCCTTGGCGATGACTAGTCACTCCTGCCCTAGGGCCTTTGCATTGGCTATTCCTTGTGCTAGGAAATGTTTATTCTAGATCTTTCTTTGTCTGATCTTTTTTTCAAAAATCAATCATTCGGGTCTCTAGTCAAATGTCCCCTCTGCCAACAGTCCTACTGTGACCGCTTTATCTAAATTTGCCCCCTCTCGATCTTCTTTTTCCTCATACTCCAATTACTTAATTTGTCTTGGCCCTCATCAGTACCTGAAATTATCTTCCAGGCTTGCTTATCTGTCATCCCCTGTAGAATATAAGCTCCAGGAACTTTGCTTATTCACCATCGTTTTGGCAACTTGCATAGCCTCTGGCCCATAGAGAGGTGCCAATATTTGCTAAATATTTGTTAACTAAATAAATGCACTAACTAAGCCTCTTACCAAGGGCCTGCCAGACCCCATGCTAAGCACTCCAGAAAACATGATTGCGTGAATTCCTGGCAACAACCTCTGTTGGTAGATATTAGTGTTTTTGTTTTCCAGACCAAGAAACAGGCTCAGAGGATTTAAATGTCTTGGCCAAGGTCCTGTGACTTAGAGGCGCTAGAACCCACATTTGCACCAGGTCTGCTGGATGGCGGAGGCCAATCTCTGAACCACAGGCATCACTGCTCTATGCCCTCTGCCCTGTGCCAGGCACAGAGGGGACATACGATATCTGTGGGAAGGCAGGGTGTTTGCTGTGGGGTCTCAAATAATAAAGTCAGAGTGATCTTTCTGAAACTCGGATCTGGTTTTGTCACCCCCTGTTTGAGATAAATCAGTGGCAGTTAGGATGGAGCCTCTCTCCGTCCACCCCTCGGCTCCTCGGGCGGCAGTCTGCAGCAGCCTTCTTCCCTCCCTCTGGGCTCTCCTTCAAATGCCCTGTGCTCCCGCCTGCACAGGGTTCGGCACAAGTGATCAGGCTGTGCGGAGTTCTGTCTTCTTCTCTTGGAAATTCCCGCTCTTCCTGCATGGCTCCACGGAGGCTCCCTGCCCGAGTGGCAGAGTCTCGCAGTGTGACACCTTCACTCTGTGGTTCTCCTGCTGCCTGTTCTTTTCATTGGTTTGCAAGACTCCTTGATTACTGTCTTTCTCTCCTTGGCTATGACTTTGCTCACTGCTGTTTCCTCCTGAGCCCCACAGTGGCCCTGACATATAACGAGGCGCTCAGAAGAAATGAACATTGCATGAACGAGTGAAGGAATGAATGAATGAACAAGAAGCAACAGCTCTGTGAACTTTCCTGCCTGCCCGGGGTCACTGACACCTAGGGGCAGACCCTGGGTCACTGCCTGGAGCCTCAGAGCCCCGGCCCATCCTCCAAGACCCCAGGGAAACTCTCTTTCCTGCCGTCCAAGTCCTCAGAGCCGGCCCCGCCGCTTGCCTACACACTCACATCCAGGTAGTTCTCCAGGGGCTGTTCGTCTATCAGGGTGGGCGCTTCCGCCTGGGGGAAGTACTTGCTGGCTGGGTTGAGGTTGTGCGTCTTCAGGAAGTCCTTCAGCAGGCCATGCTCGGACAGGTTGCGCCTCAAGGACTTCTTTCTGACGAGGGGGACCCTGTGGTTTGGAGGAGGAAGAGGAATTAGGCAAGGATTCTGCTCACCGGGTGCTGTGGCAGCCCCAGAAGGGAAGGGAAGCTGGTCTAAGAGAGGAAGAAGGAAGGAAGGGAGACGCTCCCACTTCTGTGCAATAATGCAAAGAAGTTCAGCTGCCTAGTGGTGGAGCTGGAACCAAACCCAGGCTGGACTCTTAACCAGCTGGTCTAAGAGAGGAAGATGGAAGGAAGGGAGGGGTTTCCATGTTTGCGCAATAATGCAAAGAAGTTAAGTTGACTAGGGCTGGAGCTGGGAACCAGACTCGGGCTGGGCCCGAGTTTTAACCACATCTGCAGAGCTGCCTCCCAAAGGTTGGAGAGAGAAGCAGAAAAGGGGGATGGAGACAGCCGAAGAGAGAGAGGAAAAAAAGGGAAGAAGGAAGACACAGGAGTAAAGAAGGGTGATGTGGGAGGCAGGCGTCTTCACACCCATGCCACCCGGACTCACTTGTAGATGATGCACTCAGAGAGCGCCACCAGACCCAGCAGCAGCAGCCACTTCATGGTTCTTCCCGGGTCCCAACTCCAGGGAGAAGCAAGACGGGAGGAAGGTACAGAGCAGCAGCATGAGCTGCCCCTTATATACAACTTGGGTCCTGCCTTATCGGACTCTTGGAAAGTCACCCGTTTCCCTGATCCCAAACAGAAAAGCTCCTGATAAGATTGTCGCTGCCCCGAGTCACGTTCTGAGACTGTTCCAGCTGAGGCACTTTCCACTGTAACCTTGCACCATTGTGGACAGGGGCGGGGGTGGGAGGTTGCCAAGGGGGATGACCCGCAGAGGGAGAGAGAAGCAATGGCCTGAAGGCTTAGTTTTTCTTTTCTTTTGCTTCCCCTTCCCCTTCC